TAAACTCATTTTCTTCCTCTCTAGTATCATAATAAAAATGTAGCTGAACTATGAGCTGTGGAGGTGTTCGTATTGGTGCTACAGTTAGGAAGTTAGTCATTCCTGGAAATGTTAGTAACTTAAGGAAAGTGTACTGAAGACCTAAGCCAGCTAAGAGCACCCAGCCTAAACATTAAGTTATTAGTCAAATGAAATTGGGGGTGGGGGGGAAATAGAGTCATGCTCAAAAGATCATCACTTTGGTAAGAGATAAATCTAATGAAGACAAAATGGATGGGCTCCAACTGTAAAACAGGCTTCTTATAGTTTAAGGAAGGGACCTTGGTTGATATAAAAAATAGACACCTGGTGAAAGAGGGAAAACACCTCCTGAAACTGTCCAGCAAAACCAATTAGGAACAGAATTTGGAATAAGAATAATCACAGAACGTCTACAAAAGCTCATTTAAGACAAAAGAAGGCAATGCAGAAAAATTAGGCCATATTTAATCCAAGATTAAAATGTCAATGAGAAAATATGAAGAGAAGACAAATTTCAAAAGGATTCAATAATTAGAAATCTGATTAATATGTGAAAGTAGCAGTCTTCCTCTCCACTCCTCCTCAGCCCCCACCCCAGGAGCACTGATTTGAATGACTTGTTAGAGAAATTGGGCTATTATGTGAAAAGAGAAAGACAGGAGGAAGAATGAAAGGAGAATTAGGGCAGATGGAGTTGTAGCTAAAAAATTCATCACGTGGATGCCGCCAAACTGTATACTTAAAAATGGCTGATATGGTAAGCTTTATGTGTACTTTTCCACAATTAAACATAAATAAAAAATATTGTTTTAAAAAAATTATCATATGCAAGAAATTTAAATGAGAAAAATTTGCTTCAAGACAAATATTTGGATGGCAAAGATGAGATAAAGATGACCTGTCAGGACCCTTTTATCATGGGGGATCCGTATTTCCAGAGAGCTGGTGTTGAGAGCAGGCTGATCCTGGGGCAGCTGGGTGGCGCTGGAAGGCAGAGCCCAGCGGAAGGCAGGGTGCTGACTCTGGCAGGTGGAAGAGGGGTCGTTGACCTGGCCCCTGAAGGGCAGGCGACTTTACTTGAGAGGCTGAGTAAAAAGCAAGGAGAACACCCCAGGTGGAGAGGAATAGATTCAAACAGTCCCTGCCTGCATTTGCAAAACTGGGAAAGGGGAGGGGCCTCAATGTGGCTGTTACTGCATCCAAGTTTTGTTTTGTTTGGTTTTTTCAACCAAAAATAAATTTCAGTTAAAAATTAGACCTATGAAGAAATAGATTTAATTCTTCAGAGCTAAATTGTTAGAGGCAGTGAGTTTCTCTCTTTTATACACCAAAAGGTTTTTTAGTTTTCTCTTTTTGAAATGGAAACCTCTTAGAAATTTATATCACTCTTTTTCCTACCTCATTTTTACCTTTCTGTGGGATTCAAGTTCATCATCATGCACATCAATTGTGACAAGGTGCTGCATGGAGCGATCAAAGCCCCCAAGCCTGTGAGACAGTTGGCTTCAGGCAACTGCATGTTTAAGTTCTAGAACCTTTCTAAATCATGCCACCTTTTCTCCTCCTTTTGCTGCTAGCGTTTCTACCCACAGAAGTTACACCCTTCCCTTATAAGTTTCTGTTTCCAGACTATTGTGAACTTAGAATCTGGACACATAATCTTAAGTAGGTATAGATTTAAGACAAGCAAGTGCTGAGGCAGGGTCTGATGATTTTGTGTCTAATGATAATTAATGTTCTAATGTTTAGACTAGCGTGGACTTTATGACTCAATTTGGACTACCAGGAAACATGAATTTCCTGGTTTCAATTATATTGTCACCAAATAACTGAGGTCCTGAAGAGTGCCATGTCATGATGTTTACTTTTGAAACTTATCCTGACAAACAGCTAGGATTTGTTATAAATTAATTATGGTAGGATGAAGAGGTCCACTTGGGAGTGGACCCAGTTCAAGGACACTTACCGCATTAGCTTTCATGCATCTCCATCTGCCTAGGCTGGTCTGCATTTGAAACTCAGAATGATGGGTGACGACTCCTTGAATCATTTTCCGCTCTTGCACAGGGCTCGGCTGGCATAGGATAGTTCCAGCTCACTAAGGCCATTCACACTGACTTTTGTATTCACAAAGATGTCTGGCTTTGAAGTGTAGGTAAATAATATTTCTTACAATAGCAATGAATTGGCATGTTAGCCTTTTAAATGGAAGGTTTGCCTAAGAGGTATTTGGGTATCTGGATTTCAGCTATCTGGTTCAAAATGCATCTTTGCAGGAGGACTGTTGCAGGTCACTCTTATGAAAGGGCTCTCACTGTAGTTACGACAACTTTTAGGCTCCAGAGTCATGCAATTATGGATCTTGTCTTGCAATTACTGTATGTATTACATCAACCCAATCATTACTGTCATCTAGAAATGAATTAAATCCTGTGGAAAACCAAAGGTAATAAAAAGTTGTACTCCAAATAGACATTTTAGGTTTATAGTCCAGTCTCCAGTTCTGTGGCATGATGCCCTTGGTATATTAGGAAGATATCTTGAGATATGATGTCCCTCTCTAAGCTAGAGTTCGGGAGGCATCCTCTTTCCGCAAGGTACCTGCACTGACAGAGTAGGAGGTAATGCAAAGGAGTGGTCAGGACTTTATTTCCATCACTTGATTTTGAATGTGCCCCTTTAGAATAAATAGTACCTTTTAGTAAGCTGCTTGCAGTACCGTTTAATAAAAGACTCTTCCATTGCAACTATGGCACCCTGTTCTTTAAAAATTCTGACATATTGATTCTCCTCACATAGCTCCCACCCCATGAATCACTTTAAGACCTACATAAATCCAGTCGGATGCCATTTTTAGCTAGTGACTTAAGGAGATTGATTAAGTGTTATCTGTGCAGTGAACTCTGTATTACATCTGGAAGGCTACAGTCTTATTAGGGAACTTTTAAGGGATCTAGCTAGAAGAGTATGTGGTTCAAGAACAGGGCCAACCCTAAGCAAAACCTAGACTCCAAATGATAATTACTTTACTTGGCAGCTCTCTGTAGTGTCTTTCTTAGGTAATTTAGGATGCACAGGACAAAGCAAAACACCGAACAATTTGGGTTAAATGTTTAACTCTTGTTATGCAAACTAATCAGTGAGGATTGACCTGGCAGAGGTAGGTGTTGTTCGGCCAAGAGACCAGAAGTGGCTCGGAAGAAAGAGAAGGAATAGATGGGCAGAGAAGAGTGGAAAGGAGCCACAGAAGAGAAAGAAGGAAGAATAAGTGAGAGTAGTGGGCTGTCGGGCCAGTTGGAGCATCTAGAGGACTTGGCCACAGGGTGGAGGAAGATTGCCTAAGGCTGATGTGCCGGGGCTTGATAATGATGATCGAGAGGTGTTGACAATTTCAAGCAGAAAAGTGTTATGATTAAAGCCATGCAAGAAAAAGATTAGTTTGGTATGTAAAGCAGATGAAATAAAGTCTGCAACGAGGCTGTTACAATAATCTAGCCATAGATTTCCAAGGGCCTGGACTAGAACATGGCTGATGGGAACGGAAAGGAAACAAGATAATGTGCAATACATTTCATTTCATTTGTATGACTTGAGAGACCATCTTCTTACAGCTTAGTGGTGGTTGAGATCTGGAAAGACCTGTCAGATGTAAGGGACCCCTTGGCTGTATGTCAGGTTCAGTGAATTACAGAGGAAGGGGTAAGAAGATGAGAGTAAATCATTAACATAACATTGGAGACGTGTTAGTAGTTCAATAAAATAAACAAAATGTTTGTATGCCTTCCTCAGAATTTGGCATGGGATAGGTCAGAGAAGCCTTACATTTATTTGTAGTTATAAGAAGAACATTCAGCTTTCATGGAGAACTTTGTTCTCCCTTTATTATCAAAGACACCACCATTCCCTTGATACCCAAACCAGAAACCCACTTGTTTCTTGACTCTTTCCCTTAATCTCTGTATCCAATCACCCAAAACTGTATACTTCCATTTTACTCTATACTTTCCATATACTTCCTGTTCTTAGCATTCCTGATGCCTATATCCTAGGCCCACTTGATCTTACATTTCTTTCATTGGATATTAATAACTGACCATCTTATAAGTACCTAGGTGTAGGGTGGTGGTGCATGCTAGAATTTAACATGTCAAGTTTCATAAAAAGTGGAGAAATATGGAACTTCATTTATGAATTTAAAAAAAAATTTCCAGTAACTATGTAATTAACACAGTTGTCTGATTGTTGCATTCTGAATGGAGGCCATTCCGTGGGAGCCCTGATAGCTGCCTCTGTTCAAGATCTAGTCCAGATAAGGAATCTACATATTTTATAAAGGTGGAGGAGGGGCATCCCAGCTTGAACCCAAGGGCTAGTGAGAATGAAAAGTTAAACCCACACCTCGGGCAGCATAAACAGGGCACTGCCTGAGACTTTTATTTTTCAAGAGATGCATTGCTCTCTGGAGCAAGAGCCAGCTGGGCTTCTCAAAATTGTTCTTAGAGACTTCTAGAAGGGATGACCCCAGAGTCTTTCATCATTAGAATGAAGCACAGAAGACAGAGAGCTCCTGGCCATTAAGAAAACCTAGGCAAGGAATCACTTTTTTCCCCATGTACATTTTCTACCCATTGTCTAAATGGGACTACCATTTCCCTAGAATATAAGAAAGAAGCCAAAAACATCTTCAATATTGTAAGATTTATCAGCTGTATTATGAGCTTGCTTTAGGTAAATATAATTTAACTAAAGCAATGTGGTGACCAAAAGAATTTTGAGATGATCAAATATGGCATCACGCAAATAGATTGTAATCAAATAATTAAATTCTGACACCATTTCTAAAGAATAAGCCCAGGTTATGATACCAAGTGCGACATCCTTGAAACGATTCATATCCTGCCATTTGTGGTTTAACACAGCCCACATGAATATGTCTGACATTATTTTCAGCCAGTAAGAATGTCCATTCTGTTTTTCAGCGTCTCCAGTTGGCAACGGTTATATCAAGCCTCCAGTTCCGCCTGCTTCAGGCACGCACAGGGAGAAAGGTCCGCCAACCATGTTACCCATCAACGTGGACCCAGACAGCAAACCAGGAGAATATGTCCTCAAGAGTTTATTTGTCAACTTCACCACTCAGGCTGAGCGCAAGATTCGCATCATTATGGCAGAACCCCTGGTGAGTATATGTTATGAAACTTACCTCTTTTTAAATTCACCTGTTGGCTGAATATACTAGTCTTTACTGTTCTAACAAAGGATAGATTGCTTTCCCCCTAATTTATAAAGGCTTTTTTAAAAATCATAGGTAATTTTTAAAAGATAACAATTAGGTTTCCTGATTTAAGGAAAAAAATTTGAGTGTCAGGGACTTTAGAGCAATCGTCAGCAAATACAACTCAATGGCGCTTCACTGCTGCATTTAGAACCTAATAAGCATAATTTAATAAGAAGTATTAATCATAGAAAAGTATGTTCAGAGTCTCTGTTATATACATATATGTAATATATACATAAAATATATATACACTTTAGGCAAAATCTTTTGTCCGGTTTTTAAAGTAAATGAGAAAAAAAATATCCTTGTTCAAGTGGCTTGTCTAGACTTCCAGTTTGAGAACATATGGTCTGGGTACTATATTGTTAGGGGAAGTGTGTTGGTGAGTCGTTCAGAAACTCCACTTTGATTTCTGAAAATTGGAAGACAGGAAATTTTTGACTCACTTACCTTTAGGTCTTTCATTAGACGGATGATGCCGTTGGACGTCAGTGTCTTTCTTTGCAGATGCTTCTGCTAGAACGTAAGGCGGGCGTGTGTCCGCCTTTGCTCTAGCAGGGCTCTAAAGAGTGCTGAATCTCTAAAAGACAGTCAGGAAGGAAGACAGTGCAATTGGTAGATTCAGATTACTTTTTTTCTGACCTTGGTAGAGGACACACACAATAAGAGAAAAGGAAAGGAATTCAGAGTGACGCAGCTGTTTCTATGAAGCACAGCTTGCTACCTTCTAGGAGGTTACTGGGGCAATAAGAAGATAATCAGAAGTTTGCTTTGCAGAATCATAACTTAAAATAATTGAGTGCAATATCACTGAGCCCACAAGTCTCTAACAGATGAAGATCTGTAACAGATGATATACAACATGATCTGTTAAAAATGACCTTTATAAGAATCACAACTTAAGGTTGAGAATCAAAATTCAAGAATGTCTAAATGTATTTACCTGAAAGTTACAAACTTTGCACTTTAAAATTTTTTTTAGATCAATTTTATGCATTCTATTCACAAAATTCTTTTCATATATTGAATTTCTATAGTTATGGAAAATGTTTCTTGTTTCTACAGTTTAAATCATTCAAATTTATTCTGAGTACTGCACCTTTTTTCCATTCATTCATGTTTTTGTGTTTCTCCTACTCTTACTATTAATAATAGCTGGTATTTATGGTACGCTCACTATGTGCCAGGTACTGTGCTTAACTTATTATGTCCTATAATCTTGACAATGACCTTAGGTAAGTAGTACTGATATCACGTGTACAGATGGGGAAAGTGGTACAGAGAGGGTTAAATAATTGCCCAAGGTCACACAATGTTGATTTAAACTCAAGCTGGGTGTCTTCTGAGCCCACCTCTGCACACCCCTACACTTTACTGCCAGTCTTTGCATGGCCTTCTTCATGTAAAGAGACCATCACAGACACCATTGCTAACTTCTTAAACCAACACAGGGCTCCCCTGTAACTTGAGTCAGCCAAGCCAAGCACCCAGATTCCCATTGCCCAGAACAGGGCTGATCCCTGGAACCCTCTGTCTCCTTGAGAGGTGCTGAGGCCTCTGGGCCTCCCTACCCTGGTGGAGGGAGTCCTTAGCTTGAGGACATAAGGGAGTTAAAGAAGACAGTGGTAAGGCACAAGGAAGATTCATTTCACTCCCCAGCACAAGAAAAGTGTGCAAATGGCCGGTCAAGGCTCTCTGAAATTGTGTATCCTACTGAATTTTCCTGAGGAACTGGGAAGTTGTACAAAAGTTGAAAGAGATGCTTAGAAAGCTAGGTCCTGACACCTCTTGAGCCATCCATGTTTTCAAAATAACAGTTTACTGTTATTTAAGAATTTATGAACTAAAATAGTTTGGCTTTAACTTTTTTCATCTTTACTCAGTTTGGAATTTGTTTGTGTGGAGTTTGTTTTTTCTTCTTGGAGTAAGCATTAGGTCTGAAAAACTCACATATGCCACAGCATTCTTTTAATTAGAGATAGACATTTTTGTTCCATTCTATGACACAACTAAAATGTCCCTGAACAAGAAAAGTTGAAAAGAAAAAGTGTAAGTTCTCATTATCAGCAAATCTTCCTTGTGTGCCCAGAGCAAGGTATTCCACTGGGTGCTGATAGCCAGGTAGACACACTTGATGTTTTTAGCTGAAGACATATATCCAATCAATTTTTAGGATAGTTATTTTTTATAAAAGAGACTTTCATTTGCCTTGTATTTTTTGGCAGAGATGTAAGCTTCTGTGCCATATCCTTTTCTTGCCTGCAGAAAAATGCTTAGTAATTCTCTATCCTTATATTTGCTTACTTATGGGACAGTAAATGTGACTGGATTCTGTGGTTTGTCACCTGATTCTAGGAGTGTAAATGTGCATTTGGCATTTTGTCCTGTAGCCATAGGAAGAGGTATTATTTTTGATACATGTAGAGTACATTTAAGGTGAATTCCAATAAATGTCCCCTACTATTTCTCTACTGAGTTAGCTTCTTTTGGAAAGACATTGAATCCTTTAAAATGCTGAATTTATGTGGGTTTATCAAATCACAAAATTGTATTCCATTAGTTATATTAATATAACTTAAGTGTGGAGGTGGTAAAAGTAATTTTCAAAAAGTTAGATGTATTGATTCACTGTTTGGGGGACTACTAAGGAATCTGTATTTTTTGGGTTTATTTTTAAAAGGTTGACTCTTTCAGAAGTTCATGACAATTAGACAAATTGTGTGCAATAAGTTATGTACAACATTAAATTAAACTTTAAGGTTTTATTTATGCCTTTCCAATATCCAAATAGCTAATTTTAAAGGAAAAAAGGACAAGAAATAAAAATAGTCTACCAAAATCAAATTTTAGACATTTTTCTTTGTAAACATATTAAACTTGTTGTCTTTGAACCCAAAAGATACTCAGGTCATATACGTAAATATTTATGGATAAGTCAATTTTATTCTATTTTTATTGCTTTATGAGGACGTTTAATAGCAGTTGTTCTTGTCCAGTCTCATTACTTCACCTTTCCCAAGGAAAGTGTTCTAAAAGAGCTAAATAGGGTCATCTATGTCTTTTTTATATTTTTATTTCAAAACATATTAAAAGTATGTACAGAAAATAATATAGTGGATCCGATTCCTTCTTGCATCTTACTCCATTCCCTTTCCTTTAAATTTTCTTTTTCCAAAAGGACATCTTTCTTAGTTCTTTAAGTAAGAGCCCGTGGGTGGTGAATCACTCGGTCTTGTTTATCCCAATGTCTTTATTTCTGCCTCATTCATCAGTGATGGTTCAGCTGGGAACAGAATTCTAGGTTGACATTCATTCTCCCTCTGAACGTTTGAGGCTTCATTTCACAGTGTTGCCTCTATCGTTGCTGTTGAAAAGTCTGCAGTCGACTTGTTGTTTCTTTGTGGATTATTAACTTTTTTCCTAGTTTTCTTTTATGGTTTTTGTCTTTGTCTTTGACACTCAGCAGTTTCACTATACAGTGTGTGGACGTGGATTTATTTTTATTTTCCTGTCTGAGACTCTTGTGCTTCTTGATTTGAAAGTTTATATCTTTCATCAATTCTGGAAAATCCTTAACTATTAAATATGTGAATATTGCTGCTTTTCCACTTTTCCTTTTCTCTTTTTCGGGCACCCCTATAGATGTATATTGCCCCTACTCGTGCAATGTTGCATATCTTTTGACCCTTCTTTTGTTATTCTACCTCTTTGTCTCTTTCTACTACATTCTGATTAATTTTTTGAGATCTATCTTCCAATTAATTAATGCTCTGTTAGGTTATGTATAATCTGTTGTTTTACCCACCCATTGAGAATTTTAATTTTGATGACTATATATTTCATTCCTACGAGTGTTGTTTGGTTTTCTTTAAAAATCTCTTTGAGTTTTTATTTTCATTGTATTTTGCTCCTTTCTTAAGATTATAACTTTTCTTTTATGCCTTCCATCACCTTAAACATGTCTTTAGATTATTATTTTTATTATGTCAATATTTGGGGGCCTGTACTTCTGTTTGTTCTGTCTACCAACTCTTGTCTGTGATGGATTGCTTTCTGTGCACTTTGAAAGTGTTCACTGTGAGTTCTTTAACCGAGCTTGTTTTTCTGTGAGTCTTCCTTGTATTCATGGTTATAGGAGTGTTTGTCCAGCATGGTTTTGCTTTTGCTCCTTTCTGTTGCCCCAGAGTTTATCACTGTCTGAGGCCAAATATTCTGTTACTTTCCTGGCTTGGAGATTCCTGCACCTGGCAGGTGATGTACATGTAAATCCCAAACTCATGTATGAGTTTCAAATTCTTGGGAGTGATTTTTTTTCTTGTTGTTTTTACCTAGAACCCAAGCAGAGACCACTGGAATATCTTTTCATCTTCTTGAACCAGTGGATAGAATTTCCCTAGTCCGTTGCTTAGAACCACATTTCATGTAAACTGTCTTATTTCCAGTGTCCCACCTCTCAAGGCTGACATCTTTGTTTCCTGTCCCCAGGTGGACAACAACAAAAGCCTCCAGGACAAGGAGACAAACAGTCCTCCCCCTGGGCAGCCACTATGCTGCCTCCCTCCCTCCTGCTTTTCCTCTTTCTTTGCCTTTCTTGTGAACTCATTTCTGCACTTTTTAAAAATTGTTATATTCCATTCGGCATTTCCAAGCATGAGACTTTGTGTTATCTTAACCCATCATCCTGACTAAGTCCTCTGTAGAATTCTTGGTTTCCTTCTCATGCAGATAAAGCCAGGGTGGGCCTTTGTGCCATGACACTCACGTGCAAGCAGAAGTTCCCATGCAAGGTGGGAACTTGTCACCAATTCTCCCTCCTCTGATCCCATCTATCAATTTTCTTTAAACACAACCCTGACCCTTACATTTATTGCTCAAAACCTTCATTTTGTACCCTTTCACTC